GGCAGGATGTTGGTCGCAACTGCATTGTGCTGGATAGCAAATGGCCACATCGACAGTGGGAACCCTGACTGAACAAGGTTCGCACGTGCTCCCTCCAACAGATGTCTGATTTCCCTTTCCACGAAAGATTTGGAAGAATCGACATATTCAATGGAGGTCTGATGACGGTACCCCAACTGCTCTATTGCGGCTTTCAATTCCCGGGAGTTATCGGTGTAGAGAACTTCAACCTCGTCCCTACCGGAAATGAAATGCTGGATCCCTGCAACGGATTGCTCCGTGCTCTTGCTGGTCGATGGGTAAACGTACCTGAACTGCGTATGCACGTCCTTGATCACAAGAGCACACCATTCGCCTTTGATACCTTGCTCGATGTTGGTCTTGAGGATCACATGATCAGCAATGATGTGATCTCCAAACGCTTTCGTTTCGAGCCTTCCCTGCCCACCTTTCGATCTCGCATATGGGGCAAGCATCTTGGCACGTTGGCAGGTGCGGCAAAAGGGATTCTTCGGATAGTGTGCAAACAAGTGCTCTTTGGTACTCGCTTCGGCAACCAGATCTTCCTCTTTGCGGGATCTCACAAACCGCTCAACTTCGTCGTCGGGATCGTCACCTTCGTCGATGCCTTCGTCATGAACCGGAGCAGGCGCTGGCTTGGATGCTGCTACTGCACTCAACGATGGCTCAGCTTCACAACTTGAGTCCATGTATGGCACATGACCGTCAACCTTGAGCTGGATCAGAGCACCATCAGGGCGAACCATGGTTGGTGCCTTCCCGGATTCCCAATGGAAGGAATATCCTTGATCCAGACACTTCACACCCAGCGACAGCACTGCGGGAGAACTCTCGAGGATGTAAGGCTGAGCAGGCTCACACAATGCATCGACATTGATGTCAGCGATTTCGGAAGCAGTGATGTTTCCGTTTGCAGTCACAAGGCGAATGGGCTGAGGGGCCTGTTTTCGAATTGCCTTGGACGTATTCCTCAGTGCAGCTTTGCTGATGAGGTCCTGCTCACTGCCGGAATCAATGAGCCACACATCCTTTCCCTTTGGGGCAGGGGTGGCTGCCCTTGGCGCTTCGACATCCTTGCGAACATCGTGAGGCGGCATGGCAACTCTCAGGCACTCATCACACGATAGGCTTGAGATGGAATCGGATTCCACATCGCACATGAAACCACAAGCGGGCTGGGCTCCATTCTCCATGGCTTTGACTACGGCATTCAACTGGTTCGCGGCCTTGCGCGCTGCCTTGTTAGTCCCTTTGGTCGGCCTGGGGCAGTCCTTGGCACTTGGAAACATCCTATTGTACTGCCGTTCCTCATACTCAAGCTTGAAACCATCGCCTTCGGCGGGGATCTCATGCACGTGAGCATTGGTGTCGAATGACACTCCGATTGGATCGATCGGCTTTGCGAACATGGCGTACCTGGTGCAGACTGCAGCGGCTTTGGCCTTGGGCTTAGGCTTAGGTGAATTTGCACGCTTCTTAGCCGCAGGATTTGCATTGGCCTCGCTGCTCGATGCCGCGGCGGCAGATTTGCCGCCCGTGGAGGCATGGCTAAACTTGCATTTGTCACCTCTAGTGCACTTCCCTTGGGCAAAGAAAGAACACGGTGCTTTCTCTCCTTTGCCGCCTTTGGGGGAACTTGGCCTGCCACGGGTCGCTGAGCGTCCTCGCGGCTCCTTGCGGTGCGCGTAAGGGCAGTTTGCCCCCCTCGTGCACGAGCCCTTCTGGAAGTCAAAACAGTACTTCTCCTCGGTGTCCTTCGGCTTAGGTGCGCTCTTTTTCTTGGGGTCCCTCTTTTCAGGGGCGGCAGCACCAGCCTTGGGCGTCGGGGCTTTACTGGCATTGACCTTGGACACGCGCTCTCGGTTCTCGCGGAGCCTATCCCTCTCGATTAGATCCCTCATGCAACGCATTAGGAAATCGTACGATTTATTGGGATCATCATCACGGCAACGATCATATGTGTCAATGTCGTACCGCAACAGATGGCAGCTTCTCACTTGGCGAAGCAAGATGTCTTTCAACACCTTCTCTTCCGGCGGCCTTTTCATGCCGGCGATCACGGAATCCCAAGCGTTCAGGAAACGCTTGAGATCAATGATTCCTTCGCCGTGTCGCGAGACACGCAACAGGTCTTCCAAGGAGTAGAGGTTTCCGGCTTCTTCACTGGTCTTGAAATATTGGTCAAACATAAACAAGACCTGCCTTCCTCTCATGGCCTTTCCCTCCTTGGCGCATTCTTCCTTTGCTGTTAGGATTCGCTGAGCCAGATCGCCTTTCGCTGAACGCGTGAGCGCTGCGAGAATCTTCGTGTCTAGTGTCACGAATTTTCCCGGTTCGCCGAGCTCCTCCAACAGCTTCTTCTTGTCCTCGCGATCAGACCAACTTCCATGATCCAAGGCCAAGCCTCGTCTGGACGGTCAGATGCAGCGCGGACATCCTCACGAACCGATGTCTTCCATTCACGGTACGTTTCAGGAGTTGGCATCTCCTTGAATCGCAACGTCTCGCTTTCGCGAGTTCTGGGCTTTTCATCGTTCGTGTGGCCTTTTACTAACTTCATCAACATTTTGGCGAATGCTTCTTGGCCGAGGTTAGGCCCGAGGCCATCACCTTCGTCTTCATCACCATCGCCATCGCCATCATCATCAGGTGGCGGACCGCCGGGAGGCTTACCACCCTGCTTGCGGTCAGTTGACATTGGCCCCTGAGAGAATTGCAGGGGTGGGACCGGTGCACTTGTTTTCACCGGGGATCGGCTGCTACCTGATGGCTTTTCAGCTGGTCCTTGCGGATCGCGAGCATCTGCGGGCAGTGCTTCGCATTCGGCAGTTGGAATCACGCTAGGGGTATATTCATCCCCGTAACCGTCATAGGTAACAAGCGACCTCAACTTTTCCTTTGCATATTGAAACGGATGGGTCAACGGGTCCAACATTGACCTTTGGGACCGAGCTGACTTCATGTCGTCGGTCATCAACTCTGGTGAATCCTCTCGGGTATCACCTACCCCTTTGGGCTTCGATCCATCCTCGCGGAGGTCGTGTTGCTTCTGATACTTCTTCAGCTCATCGAGCTCGTCCTGCAGAAGCCCGTTTTGGTGGGCCATCATGTCAACCGTTCTGGCGTGTGTAGCCTCGACACGGGCTGTGTCATCGGCATGCTTGGCAGCTTGCTCATGGAGGAGCTGCTGGGCTTCCGCCAGGGTGGATTCGATGGCTTGCCTAAACTCAGTTGTTTTGCGTCCCATTTCCGCTTCATGCAATGCTTGGGCATTTTCCTCACACACTTGGCTTATCCTAGCTTCAGCGAAGTTCACTTCTTGCATGAACTCATCGCTCACTCGCTGTTCGTATTCACGAATCCTATGCGACTGGGCTTGCACACATTCAGCGTAGTGTGCATGCAGCTGATTCTGTGCGGCACGGAGCTCCTCACGGTTTTCCGCTTGCAAATGCGTAACAGCTGCTTGATGCAGGGCTTCGGCTTCAGACCTAATGGCTGCGTCATTCCCAAAAGCAAAGATTGCGGTATTGTACAGTTGAAGGGAATTCATCAGGGTGCGGTTGTATTGCGCATTAGCGCTTGATGCGAACATTCGCACACCGCCGCCGGTGGCGTTGCCGGAGCTAGCTCCGGCAGCATCCACAGGCATGCTGGATCCATCAAGTGGCACAAGGGAACCGTCCATTGCTTAGAGCTAGGGGCCTGCGGCTGATAACCTATAGATTCAAGGGTTGCCGGTTTGGGGCCCAAAAGGAAACAACAAACCGTCCAAGTGCGCTGCTCGCACATTTTCACGCTTGAACAGCCACACTGCGGATGCAATGGATGTAAAACCCCAAACTGACCGATCAAATTCTTCAATAACATAGACAGACCTTTTGGTATTCCATTGACGGTCGATCATTGAGGTACCATAGGTACCCATTTTGGACGTCGTCACATACAGTACTTACACCTCCAAGTGCTAGCTGTTAGGCAGAATTCTGGTCTTGCTTTGAGTAGGACTCGAGATCCTGGTGGGGGCAAAGGCGGATCTCGGAAAGGGACAGAAAGGGGGGAAACTTGTCGGGACGCTTTCCTTTCCGGCGCAGGCTGTTTCGCAGCCGACATGTTGCGTGCAAACGCGCGTCGACCGGCCCGAGCCTTGGGATCGAACGCTTAAGCAAGGCTGTACAGAACAGGTTTGAGAATCTTGGTTCTCTTAGAGCTCTTCCCATTTCCCAAAAAGGGTTGGTCCTGGCAAGGCCACTCAGAGCTCGGTACGTCACTCCGGACGGATCGGGAGCCTGCCCCCACCACAAGCATCTCTGTTTCCAGCGACGGCCAGCAGCAGCAGCCTGCGAGGCAACTCTCAGGGAAGCGGCGCAAGACTTCCTTTTGCTTAAGCCCCCGGGAAAAATAAAAATATGTCCAGTAGTCATAGATTCCCTTTAAACCAACAGGGGAAAATAAAATAAAAAATATTCTTGAGAAAATGGAAGAAGAATGTGCCAGAATGCCTGAACGAGAGTAAAAGGGGCAGGCAAAAATTGGCGCAAGCCAAACCCTACAAGTAAAAGGGAAGCCAAAAGCCGGCTTTGCTCAACCCTCATAAGGAGCCCTGCCCCACCTTTTCGGTGAGTCTTGAACAAACGTAGGCCTTTGCATGGGCTTCGTATGGCACATTTGGCCGTCTCTCACTTGGACCCGCAACAAGCGGATGGCAAAGCCACCGACAGCCAAACCGCGCCTCCCATTGCCCTTGCGAGCGGAGGCTTCGAGTCAGCTGGAGCCAAAACTCACCGTAGCAGGCGGATCGATCCATGGGACTGAGCGGACATACAGGTTGATCCCTGTGGATGTAAACATCTTCTCTCCCCACAGGAATTCGCGCGACTAATGCGACACACACACAAAATGAATAAACCGGTCCCAACACTTGCTCTCCCCGCTCTTCTCTGTGCAGGTGCGACATGAGAAGGAAGGCGTCCTCACAATCAGCTCGGCGAGGCTTTGTCCAACACGGTGACCAGCATCCTGGCGGGTACCGGAACCAAAGAAGTTGGAGTGATTATCAATGGGGCGGCGCACCCCAACTACCTAACGATCGTCAACTGCTTGGCTCACAGAAGGGGGGGGACGAACGCATTGCTCAAAAGCAGCCTTGCCGTACCTTCCTTCTACTCCCCCGCAAATCTACATAACATGGAACCCGTATACGTATATATATATATATATATTCATATGCATACGTAATTACAACGTGTATAGTTCATTCTATATATATATATAAATACATATATATATAGAGAGAGAGAGAGATGTATGTTTACATGTGTTCCATGACCATCTGCCAGAGGGTGTGACTGACACGAAGGGTCCTGGAACAAGGCCAGCGCATCCCGTGCCGCCCTCTCTGTCGCCTTCACGTCCTGACCAGGAAAGCGGCACCGGACAATGACAAGCTCCCTCCCGGTTCGCAGGCTCTCCATGGTTCTGATTTGGCGGGGAACCTCAAAAGTTGGAATCACCACGGATTTGAAGAGCTGGAACCCCCTCACAAGTGGTCGACATTTCTCTCCCTAAGTGATGTCCAAAGGGGCCGGGACCTTCTCGCGACACTGTTGGGTTGGGTTTCACACCTCATCCAAAAGAAAACCTTCATTTGGGGGGGGTGCCAGAAAGAACCACGATGACCGCCGTGAACCCAGCCGGAGGTGCGTCGGTTTTCGAGGTTTAAAGAGAAATTAAAGGATTTGAACCCAAATCCTTTAGCACTTCCGAAAAGAATCCCCTGAACCGTCAATTGCTTCGTCCCTCTCCCAATTCGTCCCTCTAGACAGCCTAGGGGAGGGGGTGATCCCTAAATGCCTTGCGCTACTTCACTGGGGGTTAACAGAGGGTTACCAACCGCGGGATTCCCTCCTCGCTGTTGACCTAATTTTCTAAGACCACTATCCCAACCCCAAGATGGTGTTTTCACCGGCTCTCGGCAAACTGGATCCCCCAAATCGCTCCCTAACGGAAGAATCAGAGTGTGACCCACCCAGAAAACTGAGACTCCAAGCATCTCTCTCTGACCCCGCGCCTTTCCTCAAACATCCGCTTCAAACAATCACACACACAAAACCACCCCCACATCCCCTCGAACCCACCCTCCCCCCACTTCATCCCCTCGTCCCCTTGGGCTTGGTCTCCTCCTGGCGCATCTGGGCCAAGGCCACGAGGCACAGCGCGAAGCCCTGGCCCGCGGAGCTCGCCGCCGCCTCGAAGGCCTTGAAGGCCTCCTTCGCCGCCGCCGCGGCCTCCGCGGCCTGCGGGGGGCGAGCGGCGAGCCCGAAACGCCGAGCGCGTGGCCCTGGAAAAAAAGAGGAAAGCAACAAACAGTTCCGGCATCCTTTTGGTTCCCCTTGTAAATCCAGACAAAAGGGAGTCTGCCCAAAGACTCACCAAAAAGGTGGAAGGCGCCTGAAGGAAGGGTTGTTCACTTCCTCCAAACTTTTCCAGGGGTATCATGGGACGCATACTTGTGCACCGTGGCTACGTGGAAGTTCTCGAAATAGTGGACCCCCCAAGCAATATGTGTTGTTCCTTTGGTTACCCTTTCAAACCTCCCCCAATTTTTGGAATGGACCAATTCGCACAAACCGCGGAGATGCCTTGGACTGGCTCAGCAGGATGTTGGCCACAGACACCGCAGCCAAACCTTCCCCCACCTCAGCTCTTGGCGTGCGAAACGCTCAAATGGAAATCGAGGTTTTGAACAACCCCCCCCGGGCAAAAAACAAATCAAAGGTTCCCCATTTTGCCACCCCCCCAAGAAACAAGCAAAAACGACACTCCCCCCCCCCTCCACCAAAAAACAAAAACTTTACCACCCCCGCCCCCACCCCAATTTCTCCAAAGGCGCCTTGTCGGTGGCCTGCTGCTTCGCCTGCTGCGCCGCCTTCAGACCCTCGCCCTCCAGGTCCGTGGTGGACACCAACAGCTGGGCCCGGGAGATGGCCTCCTTCACCCCCCGCTTCTTCTCCTGGATGCAAGATGATGCAAGTACCCCTGAAAGTTGCGAGGCCTGCGCCCAAAAGCTGTTGCTGTTCGCCAAGTAAGGTGCTTTTCAGCAAAGCCCTTAAGGGGCCATAGCAACCAGCCCCGGTTCTTTTTTGAGTGTGTGTGTGTGTGGCTTTTTGTTGCGGTATTGTTTGTTTCTGTTTTCTTCTTTGGGGGGGCAACCAAAGGAAAGCCGCTGTTGTTTTGGCGGCATATCCAATTCCTGGCTGCCCCAGATTTTCTGCTTTTGTGCAAGGGGCTTGGATCTTGGGTCACAAAAAGTTGGACAAGAAACTGAGTTCGCCTTCCTCTGAGGTTTATTTAAACAAACAGGGGTCCACAATTTCAGACCCCACCCCCACTCATGTTCATTGGTCACCGTCTGGCAGAGTGATTCTGTTTGTGACCTTGGTGACTGCGCCTTTCTGACGCCATGCATATCTTGCGTTGCAACACAAATCTGTTGAGCCGAAGCAGTCGCATCTTCTGGCTGCGGCACAAGATAATTAAGAAGAACAAAATGCGACCAGGGGTTTGTCTCCAAGGATATGGACCCCAAAAAAACGAATCCTGAGGGGGGGTCCTTGCTGGTTCCTGAAGGCAACCAACAAGCATGCCGAGCCGACTCCAAAGAGGGCGGGCCCCGTCCTTCTCCAGGAGTTCCTTGGCGGCCTTGGCCGCAGACACGGGCTTGCCAATGGCCAGGGCGATCTCCTCGCACCCCACCCACACCCTGGGCCCTGCCTCTGAAGGCGGCCGCAGTCTGTTGAGGGCTCCCTTTTCGGGGTTGGCTCATATGTGGTGGTCTTTGTTGAGGGTTGGTTTAGCGGGAAACCAACAGGAAATCACTTTTTGGAGGGTCTCCCTTTTTTAAGACACCCCCCATGTGAGTGTGCTTTTAAGGGAAGCACCTCGAGCTTTCCGGTTCCGTTTTGAGACATGTCGATATCACCTCAACTGGCTGCCATATTGGGGTCCCAAGCCTCTCTAATTTCAACTTGATTAATAGATACATTCCAGACAGACGGTTGGGTTTGAGGCCAGACGCAAACCTTCACCCAGAACCAACAATGAATCTTAATTGTCAGACCCCAGGTGGACATCATTTTCATTATGATCTATGCAACCAGTGTTGGATGCTCCAACCACTAAACCTCATAGCCTTTTTTCCAGGTGTGCCGACCAACACATGGGCGAAAAATCCCAGGCCGAAGGGTCCTGCACCGCCCCCAGCAGAAGGATCTCCGCCTCGGCGTCCTTGGCGCTTCTCGCGGCCTGCAGCGCCGCCTCCGCCGCGCGCTCCGCCAGGCCTTGCTCGTCGCTGGCCAGGTGCGCCTACGCTCGGTCCGGTCAGCGTGGGGACTTCGTTTGGCGTATTTGTTCTTTCCCCGACGGTACCAAAGGGTACAATGGAGAGACAGGTTTGGGGTTGGAAGAGTCGCGAAGAGCACACAACCTCCAAGTCTAACATGGCAACCTTGCGGAGTCAGAAAAGACAAAGGCAAGGCGCTTTTGGTTGGGCCTATGCTGGGAAAAGACCCTTGCCTCCATGGTTGAAAAGAGAGTAGTTTCCATTTTGGCCTATCGACCTCAAAGCTTTCAGCTGGGTGATTCCTACAATAGTGGGCCCTAAAACACCTTGTTTCCTTCTGGTTTCCCATTCACCATTTTGAGAACCCCCAAGCTATTCGGAGGAAAACAGCAGTCTCAATGGGGCAAGGCGTGCGCCAAGCTTCGTGGCTGCCACTCCTGGCAGCTCCTCCAATGGGACATGTGGTGTTGGCAACTATGCAGCGCAACCAAACCCAAAGTCTCTCTTGTGTCATGTTGGCCCTAAGTCAGAGGAGAAGACTTGGGCATCTGGACAAAATGGCAATCAGTCGGCCCCAGGGCAAAGGCGGCGAAACTGTGCTGCCTGGCAACATGCACCAGGGCGCAAATGCTTCCCTCCACGTTCACATGAACAGAATGGAAGCACGGAATCTGGCAATGTTTCTAGGGGTTGATTCCCCATTCTTTTCCACCATCGTTCTTTTCACAAACCTGCTGTTTTTTAGGGGCTCTCATGGTTTTCTGGAAAGAAGGATCCCTGGAAAGAATGGGGAAGTGTCGCCTAGAATGTTTAATCTCCCACATGAGAAACATGGGATCCCCAAGTTGAACTTGGCGAGCTCGTCTTGTCCGCGCGCGAGCTCGTCCTAAGGCAAGTCCAAACGGGAGCCTGGGCGATGCAGCCGTCGGCCAGGGCGGATGCCGCTGGATCCTTTGCGTCCTGGCCGGAGAGTTTTCAATGGAGAGGGTGCCCTATATTTCCAACCTGAACTTCAATTTGCTTAAGCCCTCGGGAAAAATAATAACAATAGATTCCCTTTAAAACCAACAAATATTCTTAAGCAATGGAAGTGAAAACAGCACCATGGCACTTAAAACCACACCTCTACGACCCCTGGCGGCCCTGGTGGTTCCTCAGATGGGTCTATTTTGGTTGGAGGCAAACCGTGCACGGCCAAAAACTTCTTAGGCCATGGTCATGCTTCCCTCAATAGAAATCCTGACATTCCTTGTGTATAATCCCTATATGCTGAAGGGTCCATGACTATCCCCAGCGACTCAAAGTACAGAATGTTTGGGCAATGGCACATACGGTCAGATGTCAGATGCTCACCTCTGTTGCATTTGGAGACGACCCCAGGTGCACCTACCATCCCTACCAAACCTGCCATACCAGCAATGGTTCACATCCCAGGGCTTTGAAGGTTACACTTGTATTTTGAATTTTGTTCCGGAGCACTCAACAAAGACCACCAACGCAAGCTCTCAAGAGTTTCAAAGTTTTGGCCAAGTCACCCATGAACCCCACCATCCCAGGACCATCCCTAACCTCCCAGCCCTCACTCTAGGGGTTTCAAAAACCGGCTGTCTCCCCATGGGATTTTGATGATTTCCTGAAAAGAAGGATCCCTGGAAAGAATGGGGAAGGTACCCCTAGACTCACCCTGGTCAGTTGCTGTTCCGTAGGTCTCAAAGGTTCGCGCCTTGCAGAGGAGCGCCACCTCCTGGCACGCCCGCAGCGCCTCGTCGGAGTCCTGGTGATGTCGTTGTTGGACCACCGTTTTGGTTGGGAGGGGTAGGGTCCTGATCTTTGGCACTTCCCACCCCTTTTTGGTTTCCCGGTCCCATCTGCTTTTAACAAGTTGATAGAATGGCACCAAAAGGTGTCTGTTTTTCCAAGCTGTTCAACCACGAACTGCGGTGACCCCTGATCTTCGAAAGGCATTGGACAAGGCCTGGCGCAAATAGTAGGCGCTCATCATGGTCTGCAGCAGCGGAACCTCGCGCTTGCAAAATACGTCAGTCGAGTGACCCGAAGGGTCGAACGAATTGGAACTCAAACATTTGGGTGTGTTTTTAACATTGGGATCTGGAGCGGGTTTCCTTTTGGCTAACCCTTACCCTCACAAACGCACGCATCCATTTGTTTACTAAATGAACAGCTGGCTTGCTTGGATGACCAGCCAGTGGTGGCAAACATGTCTAGCAATTGTTAACATTCCCAGTTCACCTACAAGTAAGTAGGAGTCTAGCCGTACCTTCCCGAATACGGGGATCAAACCTGCAGAATTCCCCGCAATGTTGATGAAAGGTGGCATTGCTACTTTGAAAGGTGGTCCAGAATCACGTTGGTTCACGTCCGATAACATTGGAGACATGCGTGACCTCTCCGCGCTCTTAAAAACCCTTCTCTCCCTGGGCCGAAAGCCATGGACATGAGATGCAACTGAAGGGAGCCATCATTGGCCTTGAACCTTCGGAGAAGCAGTGCCAACTTTTGAGGAAGCAAAGGTATTGGCAATGAATCCCTGGGCGTCACTTTGTGGTGACTCTGAAGCTGCAGGCGCTGGCATTCTCCCCCTGAAATTGAGATACATATTGTTGGATGGGGCACAAGGTATGAGGTATTCAGTGTCTCTTGGATCAAACAAATAATATGCATATATATATACACATACATATATATATATATATATATATATATTGGTGTCCTGCGAACACGGGTTCCCACTCGGAGTCGAGCTGCCTCGAGGATCTTCTTGCCCCCCACAGCCCGCAGCGCCGCAAGGCCCTGCTTGGCCAAGCGTAAGGCATCCCGGGCCTCCGGGATAAGAATTTCGACCCGGGAGTTTGGGGGTGTCGTTTTGGGGTCCTCCAAACTGAGATCATTACTTTGACGGTTTCTGGCAGTTATCAAAGTCATACATGGGTTTGTGTCCCTCTACCCCACCACTTAGGGGGTGACTTTGATCATGGTCAAGTAATGAGGCCAGTCCAACAAAATGGAAACACAGTCTTCCGGGAGTGTCTTTTCGGAGTTTGGGAGTTGGGGTGCTTCCTTTCCTTTAGAAACACAAAGTTGTGCCACTCCTTTTGCTCCTCCACCAGTGTACTCCCCTTCCTTCGTTTTCCTCCCAACAACAGACACCTGGCCCCATCTTTGGACCGGAGGGTCCCACATGTTGAGACAAACCCAGTTCCCTTCCCAATGATTTCAAGGGGTGAAACTATGAAAGGGAGTTCACTCAGAGAATTGACTTTCTTTGCCTTTTCTCCTTGAAGCCAACTTGTTCAAGGTTTCTCAGAATTACTGGCGGGTCCCGGTGGCTTACCCCCTTACGCAATTTTGCCATACTTTCGTTCGGATGCCTTCTGACAAAAAGCACCCAGCAACCCGCCCTATGGACCAAAAGATCCAAATACCACCCCCGCCTGGCCCATGAGTAGGAAGACGTTGGCGAGCATGTTGCAGCACACCGCCTCCCCGCTTTTGTCCACGAGCTGCAGGGCCTGCCGAAGCAGCTCCGCCGCCGCGCCCAAGCTCTCCTCCGAGCTGCCCTGGGCCACCTGCCCCAGCCAAATTGTGGGGCATTGAGTGACTCTGAGGGTTTGGTGCCTGAAATTTCAGATTTGGTCCCCAATGTCCCTCCGGAATGGCCCAATGGGCCATAGACTGATGCACGGACCTCAACTGCCACATGGGTCTGTCTGAAAACAAGGAACCCTTTTTGGATGGCTGCAAGAGAAAGAACTGGAAAGGTCCCTATTGTCAAGAAACACTCAAACAGGAGCTTGACCCTCTGCAAATGGAGTGCCCACCACTAAAAACTTAGTTGCCAAATTTGGGACCCTGCAAATTGGCGTTCTTCTGTTTTTCCCTTCAACCAGCAACAAGGGATCCCAGTATCTTCGATGCTCCCTGCTTCACCAGGTCTTGTAAAAGAAGAGCACAAACATGAAGAAACCTGGCAACTGGGTTCTGGTGCTTCCCGGGATTGAGGGGTTGATCTTCAGCTGCCCGACATGCGGCAAATAATCCCGTGCTTGGTCTAAGTTGGCAGATCTACTGAATTCGGTAGATGCCCACCCCTCGATTCCGTCTATATAAACAACCGCAGTCAACGCGTTAAATCATATTCCCCTTTCACCAAACCGTTTTAAAAAGGAAGCTTCAGGAAACCAAAAGCCAAGCCTCAGCCTCCCCAGCCTCCTCCCCTCCCTCCCCCAGCCCAACCCCCCCCCCTCCCCCCCCTCCCTCACCGACCCGACCGACTGACCCGACGCCTGTGCTGCCGCGAGGTCCATCGACGCCTGCGCCACCTTCGCCGAGTCCCCGGCCGCCCGCGCCTTGGACAACGCCGCCTCCGCCGGGCCCACGGCCGGCGCCGCGCCTGGGGGGGGCGGGAAATGACGGGCCTGGAGGATGGGGGTGACGGGGTGGGGAGGGGGGCGGGTGACGGGTTTTCGGTTGCTGCAATTAATGGGAAACATACCAAAAAACAAAGAGGAAGCAGAGGAAGCAGAGGAAGCAGAGGAAGCAGAGGAAGCAGAGGAAGCAGAGGAAGCAGAGGAAGCAGAGGAAGCAGAGGCAGTTGCACATTTTAGGGAAACATCGCAGTTGAAACTTGGATGCCCTGTGGAGTTCAAGGGTTCGAACATCACTTAGAGGATCCCTTGTAGATCAGGCGGTGTGTGGTTTTTGGCTGTATCCTTCAAGTTGAGAAACCCACACACACCCCGCCTGCCGAAGCTCCGGCGGTTTTGGCGAGGCGATTGGCCAGGGAGAGGGACAGCACCGGCAGCGCCGTCCCCTCCTTGGCCTCGAAGTTGTTGGCCCTGGGAAGTTGGTCGACGGCTGGGTGATTGGACCGCTTGAAATCTCATGGTTGAAACCAGACTGCTACGGATCACCTCCTTCCTTTTTGGCTCCCCCGATAAAAACAGGGTACCCCTTTTTTATTACGACTCTGCCAGGCGCAAAGGAGAAACAGCAAAAAGACAGGAGCAGCTGGTTAGCGCGTCCTGTGGCCGTCCAGCGCCAGGGACCACAGCGTCACGGCGGACTGCTTGAAGGCCTCCTCCGCATCGCTGGGTGTGGTGAGCTTTGCCACCAGCTCGCGGCGGCTGGCCTCACCCTTGCACTGGCCCAAGACCTGCAACACCTCGGGGTTCGGGGCGCTTTGCAGTCGGTCTCTTGGGAAAACCTGATCCTGGTGGGTGTGAAGGGAGACAAAAGAGAAAACCACCAGCTGCAATGCGTTGCTCTTTCTTGGGTCGGTTTGTTGCCGTTCCTCGGAAAATCACAACCATGGAAGTGGACAGGGAGTTTCGCGAATCAGCACTGGGGTCTTTTGTCAGCGATTCTTCAACAAACCTCATTGGTTCTTTGATGGATCTGGGGTGAAGGTGGGTCACTGAAACTTCCATTGAAAGTCAGGCAATGGAAGTAGATTCTCGGGTTCGGTGGTGCAACTCCCAAACATGGCCTTGCCTTGCCAGCGCCAGCAGCGGCCCACGGACCGCTCATGGCTGAAGTCGGAGACTGAAAGGCGACGTGTTTTTTGGCAATGAGCCGCAGCCGGCCGTATCTTTCGAACGCTGGCTCCACATGATCTCATGTTGTGCATTCAGAGGCCCCGATGGCTGCGAGCCAAGGCATGATCAAAAGATGCATGAAGCCAGTCAATCTGCCCGATATAATGCAACACAGCGTCAGACTGTACGAGTCAATGTCTTCAGACCAACACCAAGCAGAAACTCGCATTCGTGCACATCTCTGTAATCCCAAGTCTCCATAGGCGCACTTTGGCGACCAAATCTCTACCGTAGTACTACCGGCCCTTCTTCTTTCGCCTTCGCACCTCAGGCGAGGGTGTAGCCACCGAGCCGCGGGGCGTGGTGGTCATTGGTGTGACTGGTGCGGCGCTGGCTGCCGCCCTGTTGGCCCCGTTGGAGCTGGCAGCGCTGGCTGCGACACTGGCGTGGCTCGAGCGCCGCGAGCCCATGTTCGGTGATGTGGCCGGAGCTGGACCCGGGGTGGCTGGGGCTGCTGCTGCGGCCGCGGCCGCCGCGGCTGGGCTGGCAGCGGGAGAAGCGGCCGGGGCAGGCGAACGCTCGGGGCCAGGCAGCGCCAGCGGCTGCCTGGCGCAATCAACAACGCCCTGCCCAGAGCGGATGGGGAGCTCACACAACCCGAGCCTTGCAGCGCCGGTCAAGCGCCTCGCCACAGCAAATGACATTTAAACACAAAACAGGAAACCAACCATTCCAAGCAAACACATGTTTGTGCATTGCTCCAAAGAGCACCAAGGACAATCCAGCGCCTCGTCAACGCTGCTGGCGCCAAGGCTCTGGTGACTCTGAACGCCCTCCAGGTAAACACCAGCCTCGGCAGGACTAGAAACACATCTGCTGCACTCCGAACAGTGGACAACATCCTTCAAGTCTTAGCTTCAACATGTGCAAAATATCCGTGGCCCCTGCGCGCCGCACACCACTGCAACAACACCACAGCAAGAACACCAACACCAACACACAACACAAACAACCACACAACACAAACAACAACACAACACAACACAACACAACACAACACAACACAACACAACACAACACAAC